ACTAAAACAGGGCAAAAAAGCAGAGTCTATTAAACTCGCGACTCGCGAGATCCGTCTCGCGAGTCGCGAGCTTGACAGAGCAGCAATAGCCAGAATCTCGCGACTCGCGACTGTACTCGCGACGCGCGAGATGAGGTCGCGAGTCGCGAGATTCTGGCACTTTTGGCTCTGTGAAATCGCGACTCGCGACTTAATCTCGCGAGTCGCGAGTTTAATAGAGCTGAAATATAAATAAATTCTCGACTCGCGACTTCATCTCGCGAGTCGCGACTGTACCAATAACTTGTGATAACACCCTATTTAATAACAAAAAACAATAAATACGTAAATTATTTACCTGAGGATCCAGTGCTAGAAAAACGCCCCCCAGCCTGTCGTGGAGGAGCAGGATGAACAGGCTGTGAAGGAGCCGCAGGCTGCACAGGAACCGTAGCTTGTGCAGGAATATCGTCATCGCCCTCATCATGTGAAGATGCCGACTCGTCAGAATCCTCAGCCATCTGGGCTACCGACTCATCAACATAATATCCCTGCTGACCGTCCGATGCTGGTGCTGGTGCAGGGGGTATCGAGCTGCCTGACTGGCCAGCAAAAACATATCTATGCTGACTGAGCTCGTACAGTGGTGGTGCAGCATATCCCTGCTTACCAACTGGTATTGGTGGTGTACCATATCCCCTCTGACCATCTGGTACAGGTGTCTGCAGTCTCGAACTGCCTGCCTGGCCAGTCTGTACCCTTCGAGCCTCTTGAATAATGAATTCTCGATCCCGACGAGAGGACGCAGTTATACCCCGTTGCTTCGGATGTCGGTGTCCAGATTCGTCAATATACTCATCCATCTCGTCGGCGTTCCTATCAGATCGTTCAGGCCTAGCAATACCCTAAATCACCAATTTAAATAAAAATTAGTAAATATATATATATATTTTTTTAATTTTGTAAATATTTTTTATTTAAAATTTAATTTTAAAAGTCAAATTAAATTGATTAATTTATTACTTATAATAACGTCTTAAGTTAATATTAATAATATTTTTTCTAATATAGTATTAATTAAAATAATATAATTATAGTAACTTTTTTTTAAATATAATTATAATACTTCTTTATTACTACAATAATTATATTAATTATATTTTATAATTTTTTATTATAACATTATATTAATTTTTATTTAACATAATTATATTTTTTTAATATATATATTTTTATTTTAATTTTTTACTAATATATTATTATTAAAAAAACAAAAAAAAATAAATAAATCTGTCCGACCGGTCCGTGACCAGCCGGGGGGGCCTGTTCACGTACCGTACGTCCGGCCCCCATATCCGGACAGATGGGATGCGATCGGCCGGGTCGGGCCGATCGCTGAACCGGGCGACCGGTCATTGTGACTGGTCGCCCGCGGGCC